CAAAACCCCAAAACCCCAAAACCCCAAAAGTTAGAATAATATGTTATCGATAACTTTGAATTATATCAAGAAATTAATTTTAGGAATAGAATTGAAATTAATCATAAATTGTTGGGAGCCTAGCTATCCTTTGATTTTTATCTTTTATGCTTTTCTGTCTGGACCATTAACTTTTTGAAAAGATCATCTTTATCTAGTTTCTTAATATTTGTATTTAAGTTCTGTATCCGTTTTATAAGGTCTTTATGATTATTAGTCAGAATAGATTTCGCATAGGATGGCAGTTTTGATGCCTCATCATTTAGATACTGCTCTAAAGCTTATTTTGAATCAAACCTATTGATTCTAGAAGTTCTATTTCCTAAATCATGATTGTGGAATTGACTTGACTTGTTATGATTACTATGATTCATTATATCCTCTCCACCCTGAATTGGCTCCTCATCTTGGTCCTGCTCTTTTTAATGTTGAATATGATGCAATTATGGCTGACTAAAAGCTCTAGTTGGAGCATGTGGCATCGTCTCTTGGCTTCCTCCTCTGGCACTCTTTTTCTTTCTTTAACTATTTTAGTTTAAAGGCGTTTGCTTTCCTTTATTTTTAAGCCTTTGCCTTTCTTCTTCAATAACCTTGAAACTATCATCATTTGAAACCTAATCATGCTTCTTTTTTATTTCAGCCATTACTTATAATGTTTAAGAAATAAGATCCTAATCTTTCTCTTGTTCATCAACTCTTTTATAAAAAAGTGTTTCTTTTTCCTTCAGAGTTCTCGAGACATTCATAACAGATTAAGTGTATGAACTTTCATCTAAGTAAATTGGTCTTTAAACCTGGTATATATTGAATAGCATCTATTCATCAGTGCTACCAGGCTTCTTTGCAAGCCATTGCTACTTAGAATTCTAATTCTTGATGCTTCCTATATCATAGTTTGCCTTACTATTTCTCTTAGTTAATCTTTTGTTTCCAATAACTCTATTTTCTTATGTCTTTGCTCTTTAATCTTAAAATCCAATTGGATTTCCATTACTCTAAGTCCCATTATAGTCAATATTCTCAACCAAAATGCCATCAAAGTTTTATTAGTTTAGTTCCTCCATAAACTAGTCAATATTATCCTCACTTTAATGATTTAATATTATCTTTGGAATTTCATCATTAGAGCCTCCGCCAAATATCAAATTATCTTGTTTTGTTGATCCTAATGGTGTTTCATGAGTTCTAATTAACTCATCCTAGATTTTTTATTGCTACATTCTACTTCTTTTTTGGGCTTTTTAGAATCGAGCTTTTAATTCCTTAGGATCCATTTAATTAATAATATGCATTGTCTCATGATAAGGGATATTTCCAAATACCTACTTCAATAATTGCTACCTTTAATAGACTATGTCTTAGACCTCATTTAAACTTTAGTACATTTCACTTGGAGAGATTAGCTTAAAATCTTTATCAAATATTTTATTATCTAGTTTAAGCTGTTTCCTCATCTCCTCTATGAGTACTCTTATGGATATTACTTGGTCTCTTGCCTTGTTATACTAATGCATGTGCTAGTTTCTAAAAATATGGATTTCTACTATTTTAGATTGCAGATCATTAACAAGCTAGTGTGGGTTATATTTCAAGTTTGACTTCTCAATATCTTACTTGTGATATTAGCCTAAATCTTACTCAAGTTAGTTCCTTGTTTATCTCAGCATCATTACCTTATTTTCTCTAATATCTCTTTCTTGTTCAAGTCTCTTAAAATTCAGATAAAAATCAATTATCTACTGATACTCATCTATGCTCTTAACTCCAGCACTTTATTTCATAATTTCTAGTTTCTAGATTAGATATTTACTTTAATCACTTATTTGTTGCCCTCCTCCTGTACTAGTATCAGACTATATAGAGTAGAAATTTTCTGTACTATTTCTGTTCTTTGATTTATTAATGTCTTGTAATGCTTATTTCATTGGGGATGAATGTTTATGATGAAGAACAGGCTTATGATCCAATATCTCTGATTTAAAGTAAGACTACTCTGTTATGTTTGCTCCCATCATAATGGACTCCTTCCGTTTGTTAAAATCATCTCTTAGACATTTAATGTTTTATTTTTCACTTATCATTCCATACATAGATTCTGTAGTTCTACCTTATAATTACTTTCTTTCATTTTTCAGTTTTGCTAGTTCTTTTGATTCCTTTTTCAATTCTATAACTAAATTTTTAGCATTGATAATAGACTCTTTTTCATGTTTGATCAACGTCACCATGTTACTAACTGCTAATTCTAAGCCTTAAATCCACTCATGGTTATCTGCCTTATTTTTAAAACAAAAGTTCACAATATGTCTTAGTCTATTTTGCTCTTTTCTTGCTATTTTATATTAGGTTCGAGTCTAATCTAACTTTTCAGAGATTGAGGAGACCTTCTTCTCAAAAGCTTGAGATTCCTTATTGTTACTATCTAATTGAAGGATACAATTTTAAAGGCTCTAAAATATCCTCTCTTTTTATTGAATCTCAAAGGCAATTTTATTAAGTTCATTGATCATCTCCCTGTTTGTCAGCACAGCTGTTTCGAGCTCTTTTCTCTCATAGTTTTTAACTTAATTTCCTACAACTCTTACTGCATTTTCAGGCTTTATTCTACTTTTAAGATTTGCCAACTCATAATCTTGATTTATCCATTTGGCTTTTGATAAGTAATACTAAGACTATTTAATTGAACCATCAGGACTCATTAGATTTCTCTAGCTCTGAGCTGATTATAAAAATCTGCTGTTTTAACTTTGATTTTTAAACTAAAGTCTATTCCCATTCTGTGATCTGGTATTTCTTGCTGTCATTACCATGCTATTCTTATCATTCATCAATGAACCTTATAATAAGTCTATATCTACATGGTTTTATCCTTTAGCTTTTGGAGTCAAAATTATGCTTGCATTTATGCTCTAACTATATAAACTGCCTTTTTAGTTTTTGATGGTTGATTTTTACTAAAAATTATTGGTTTTGTTAGAAAATGATTCATCGGATGAACTATACTTAGTCTCTTCTCTATCTTTTTGGAGGTCTTCCTCCTCTAGAGTAAACTCAATAGGAACTGCATAAATTTAGTTTTTCCCACTTAGCTATTTTCTAGATTTGGCCTCTTTGATTATTTTAAGACTTCCTATTACAAGATCCATTTCCACCTCATAATTCATATGTAAATGAATGTTTTTACCCATTGCTTTGTTCATATAAGTAGAAAAGGCACTGTTAATATCCATGCAAAACCAAGGAAATTAGAGCCATATCCAGCGTTTATAGTAATAAAGCTATAGCTAAGGAAATAATGGGTTTTCCTTTCTCAATAATGCAACTTACTTCTCTCTGTATACTGACATAAATAAAGGATTGTCCACATTATACTTTTCTTCATCAGTCATAGGAGTTGCATTTTGCTTGTTTTCTGTAAGCATACCCCCTATATACTCAAGCTCTCTCTATAGCTTTATTTGTTCTAATTCTGGAGAGATGACTAATGGGGGATGCCTAAATTCAGGGGTACATTTAGACTCCAAATCTCCTAATTCTTTGAAAAATCTTCCAAGCTAAGTCAGTATAACGAATAGTTCGCTTGGGGTTGGAAAATAGTTAAGTACAAACGCTTCAATAGTTTTATTATATTCATAAACAGGATCAAATCCATGCTATTCCAATTTTTACCAGTATTATGATAAGAGATATTTATCAGTAGGTTTATAAAGCTGACAGAATATCTCTAGGTTGCTTAGCAAATCTTTTAGTCTCAGCCATTAGTTACCTTACTTATAGATATTATATGTTACTTCATCAATCAATCTAGCATTAGAGTTGAAGTGTTTAACCTTTGACAATATTGTAACGATAGATGAATGTATTTCGTTTTTAAACAACTCTTCTTAAAGGTAAAATTTCTCTATAGTTTTCTTGTAGCATTCATTATTAACTCTATATAGCTGTTTATGCTCCAATAATGCAAAGTTAAATATCTTCAAAAAAATTTCAATTGTATCGATTTTGACTTCTAGACAATCCTTTAACTCTTCTTTCTTAAGACCAGTTTTAGACAGAGCAATTATACAGCTGATTCTCCTAAATTTAGATCTAGGCAGTATTTTATTAGTTTCATAATGCTTGAGGGTGTGCTTGAATAAATCTTCTGGAGATTAATATTCCTTAATTTCTTCTAAAGTGGGTGGCTACAGTTTAAACTTATTTAAGTCGATGTTAAGAGGGTAAAGCACATGTAAGAAGGTGTGCAGAAACAAATGATTCATAAACTAATTTCTATTCTACTATATATAACTCCATATTTACTCCTTTATTGCAGGCAGATCATCTATCAAATCTATGCTATTGCTCATATTAAAATGTGATTCAACAATGCTGTACAATGAATCATCTTGGATTTCAGGCATCTGCAAGAATTTAAAGGGTATCTTCATATTTTTAAAATGTTGATAGGCCTTTGAATTTTTCTTGCAGGTCAATATAACTCTAAATGTTTAAGGGAAGCATTAAGGGAACCAATCTGGTGCTTCCTCATCAAATTTGTAGTTTATCTTGTTTAAAGATTAATGAACAGATGTTGTTTAGGGAAAATTATCCTCTACTTCAAATCTATCAATACCATCTATGATTAAAATGATCTTGCATTTATCTGTGGTAATAGATTTCTTCTTTTTATCAGCCAGTTCTAACCATCTGGAGAAAAATGTTCTTACCTTATCATTTTGCATCTCTATTCTTTGGTTCAGATCAAATAGACTCTAATTACATAGATTATTTAAAGTTTAAATTGAAGGTTGCAAATAAAATTATGAATGATATGAAATATCACTTACTCTCATTCTATTAACTAATCTCCATATCACTGAGTAATGGGAGTTCTTAATGTTTGAGCTATTTACAAAATGCATCAAATACACATTCTTGTCAAACTATATCAATTAGTTTTACTTAGAAAAATATGATGTACCATATTCGTGAAGAACTCTGACTTAGCTTCATGAAACTAGATCCATTGATATAAAAGCGAAGTTCTGCCCGAACCTTCAGGCCCTACGATAACGAGAGGGGTATTTTAGTTGAGTAAAGCTGAAATAGTAGGTCTCTCAGCATGAAACCACTTTTCAATTTCAATTACTTTGTCATACAATCCATAAGCAGGTCTATATTCATAAATAAGTTTCAGGTAATCTTTGATACTTATGTCGATAGTATTAGTCTACCATATCATGAAAAAAACTATAGGCCAAATAAATATTTAAAGATTTCTTACTCCATGTTGCTTTGAATATATTCATGCCCTTACTACTTAGTCTGACCTAAGAATATTATTGTAGTGATAATTACTTTCAAACGGATGAGATAGTTTACTTGGATTGCTTGATATATTATTCATATTTTTTATTCTAATTTTAATCTTCAATTTATTCATATTCCTTGCTAACTAATATTTAATATTTTCTTTCGGGGTTTTGGGGTTTTGGGGTTTTGGGGTTTTGGGG